ATATTATTAAAAATCAATCGAAATAGATAATAAGAAGAGAAAAGGAATATCAATAAAAGAACGAAAGAAATTTTATCAAAACCAAAAATTAAAGCAAAGGGTTTTTATAATTTTTCTTATAAAAAAATGAAGCAAATTATTTAATCGTAATTATTTTCCTTTAGATAGCTTTTTTTATATATTATTAAATTTTTTATATATCTAAATAATCAAGAAATAGTCAAACAAATAAAAATTGAATTGAGCAAAATAAAAAAAATAATTTAATTTAATTTAAAATTTGGTTTATTTAATTAATAAAATTGAATGTGAAATTCAAATACATGCTTTTTCATTAATAAAATTTATATAATATTATTGTAATTAAATTAGCCTCGTTTTCTGCTTTCTTTTTTTTCTGCGAAATGAAAAATAAAGCAACTTCAAAAACAAATAATAACTAAATAAAATATATCAAGATATTGAAATTCACATCAATATTAAAGATATATTTTTCCTAGAAAATATTGTTCAGATTAGTCGTGAGAAAGGAAAACTCCTTCATCAATAAACCTCACAACTAGCCTAAATGATTTCATAATAGAAATTTGTTCATGTTAATATGGTCAGAAAAAAATAATAAAAAAGAAACCTTCAAAAAAGCTCAATAAAAATACATATTGGGATACTGAGTGTATCCCAATAATAAATTTTTTCATTACAGGATGCATATTTTATAAAGTCTTAGAAGAGAGAGTAGGTCATAAGAAAAAAATAATCTTCAAAAAAAAGCCAAAGCAAAGACAACATTATGCAATAAAAATAAATAAATTAACACTGAGATATCAAGTATATCAAATTTGTAAATTTCTTCATTATCTAAGCAAGAAAAGAATCCAAAGTTTATAATGTAAAAATTTTGTAAGAAAAAAAGGAATTTATAAGGGATAGAGAAATAAAAAAATAAAAAGAAGGAAATTTTCAGGAGTTTAAGAGATATTATAATAAAATCAATGATTCAATAAGCAATTTTAGATAATTTTTTATAAGAAAGATAGAGTATAATCGTAGCGATTGTATATTTTTTATCATTTTTTTAAAAAAAATTATTCTTTAAGTTCCTCTTTCAAATCGTTTGGTAAAATTTAAACTATAACTTTATTTGTCATAACATAATTTTACAAATTGAATATAAAACTATTAACATAATAGAAGAAAAGCGCCCAGGAATGATGAATAAAATTTTCTAAGTACACTTCACTAATGCTTCGATTGCATCATTAATAGAACTAGTAGTGAAGCTGAATTATCATTATTTGTATTTGCAAATAGCATGTTTTCGCATATAAAGGCTGCTATATTCTCATGAGGTAAGGAAACTGAGTTAATCTTTTCTCAGAAACTTTTCGTACTTCCTTATCTTCAACAACTTCCCACTTGAAGTATTAATATAAGTATCACCATTAATTTTCGTATGAAATGTAAAATTGTTTAGAATGAAAAGTTAGACACTCACCAGTAGCTATTTCAAACTTTTTAAGCAATTCATTGAATGATAAGGTGGCATCAGCAACTCTAATGCAAGTGTTACAAGCTACTGGAATTTTAAGTGACTCAACAGTATATTTACTAATATCATGTAAAGAAGTTGTAGAAATTTTTAATTTGGAATCCATATAAAATGTGAATTTCTTCTTTTTAACGTCAAATCCTATCCAGCCAAAAAATTCATAGAATAGATGAATGTATATTCAAGTCCATTTTTTCAACTTCTGCTCAGAATTTTGCTTTGCTATCTGAAAACAGATGAGATGAACCCCTTCATTAAATGAAATCATTAGGATTCAACATAACAATTTAGCCAAAAAAAGATGAAAAAAATAAAAAATAAAATCAAATAACTCACTGAAATTTGCCATCAAATTCAGATAGGATGAATCTCTTTACACTGGCTTCTTTTGCTGCAATCAACAGTAGTAATTGAGTTTCGTAAAAGCTAACATAATCACTAGCTTTTACGATACTGACTAAAACATCAGTTCCTCTAAGGACTTAAACAAGGTCATCCTTTTGATCATAATCTGCATATACAATTTTTGCACCCCTTTCGGCTAATGAATTAGCATTCGCATTTACGTTTTCTGACTTTCTTTAAAGAACTTTCACATTATAAGATTCATTATTCAAAAAGGCGTCAGCGATGTGATAACCTAATATGCTAGTGGCTCCAATAATGGTTATAATGCGGAATGGTGAATCTCTTATGTTGAGTCGTGAAATATTGAATAAAAATTGTTTTTTTTAATCAAAATCTAGGGTTGTTCAAAAAAAGCTAATAATTAATAATCCTTTTTGTTTTTAATTAAAATGTTACAAGAAATAAAATATTCGTAGACTACTCTACAAAGGAAAAATAATCTACGCTAGCTGATCCTTGCATTTTAAGGGACTTGATTGTCAAAAAACTTTGATCAATAAAAATTAATTAACTAGTAATCAGAAGCCAAAATAAAAATTTGACAAAATTGTTGACTATATTTTAAATATAATTTAGGCCAGAACTATACATTTTGGCAGAGCTAACAAAATATTTGTAAATCTTTAATTCTGGCAGATAATAAAATTTCTGCCTGTGTTAAGAATAACTGATATTAGCTTAAACGGTTCGTCGTTAAGTTAACTAAGATTATTTGATAATAGGGAGTTTAAGTGCGTCTAAACTATGAAAGAAATAAGCACATATTAATTATGTTGAAGGGTTAGGTCGTCTTTATTGATATAGATTTAAAGAAGTATGAAACTGTATATTGAGCAAAGATATAATTGTTAAGAGATAAATGTTATTGATTTATTAGAGAATTGTAGTGACTCTGTCATTTATTAAAGCAGAAATACAAGATATTTATATAAAATACATCAATATGAAATAGATATTTAATATAGTAAAGAAAAATAAGAAATATAATATAAATAAGAAATTAAAGATATATAAGATATATAAGAAATTATAGATCGCTAAGATCGTTAAGAAATTAGAGAAATGATAGAAATCATAGAAATTAGAGAAAGTTGAGATCCATGATCGATAAGATCATTATTCGCTAATTGTAATTGATGCAGTACTAATGTGTCATAACTAGACTATTACTAACACCGGTTTAGCCGTAGATTTGAGATTTTTAATTCTATCGAAGATATTAGATTTAAAATCGTAAACAGTTGCAATTGCATCTTCAATGACCTTCCGGATGGATTATTTAATTGTGACAAATTTCACGAAATCAATTTGTATTAATTTGAGAATGGTAGTCATAATGTGATAATGATGAAAACCAACGTAGCAGAAAGTGATAATATTAAAAGTGTTGATGGTGTGGCATAGTTTAATTTTAAAATAAATATTTCTAAAAACATAAATTTTTTTATAAATCCAAAATCTATCTATAAAATAATCTCTTGTTATTGAAAATCCTTTTGATGAAAGCCAATTATATAAAATTCAGAACTTAAAGAATGTCTTCAAAGTAAAAGCGTCTATAAGTCTATGAGAATGGATCAAACAATTCAAAATAGAATTAGTTTATTATATATTATAAAGATGTATTCTCCTAAAATAAAATTAGCTTTCCAGACATTTTTTATAAATAAATTTGCAAAGTTTATTAATTACTTAATTCCTTATACTCCTAAAATTAATTGTTATGTTATCATCATGTTTAGATCATAAAAAAAATAAATCGCAAAGCATTAATTATTGCCTTTCTAAAAAAAAATTTAGTTTTTTGTAAATAGATTTATTTTATATATTTTATTTATTATATTAGTTGTATATTATTTGTTACATTATATTATTAAAAATTTATTTTGTATAAATATAATATACTTTTCCTTGAAAACTGGAGATAGGGCTTTGAGATAAAACCAAGAATTCAATAAAGATATATGTTATTCATTAGCTATTACCTTTTATCATATCTTAATACAGGCGTAATTTTGATAAAGTTTTGTAATTAATTTGAGGAACAGAATTAAATTATATGATTCTTTTTATAGAAACCTGATTAATAGCATAAATAGGAAAAACTCACTGTCTAGGCAATAGATTAATGTACTTTTTCTACAAAACAAGTCAATGCTATTAAGAATATAATTTTTTAACCATACACTTATTCTTTAAGCTTTAAAGAAAATTAAAGTTATCAGAATTCCATTCAGTTTAATTTGAAAATATTATTAAATTTTGAATATTATATTATACTAGAGTTGACTTAAACAGTATTACTAGATTCGTGACAATTAAAAAAGAAATTAAAACCAATATTATAAAGTTTGATAGAACATTTCAACTATTTTACTTAAAAGTGTTTCAATCTATAATAAAGATATAAGTAAGAAAAATCAATTATATATGAAAAATATATATATTTTTATAATAGAATGCAATATTAAAATGATCAATTATAATATTTTCAATTTTCTAAAGAGATTTCTATGAAATTAGAAATGATTTATCAACTATATAAAAAAACTAATCCTCATACCTACTCCTATAAGATGAAAAAGATAGTTTTATAAAAGATTAGGCAAAACTTGTCTAATAAATTAATATAAAGAAAAAAAATTAAACTGAATTTTCTTTTTTTCAAAATTTTATTATTCATTTATCATTTTCCTATTTTTTTTCAAAGACATTATCGTTATATGCAAATAATTAAATTTCACCATTTAACTCTTAAAAAAATAATTAATAATAAAAATTTTTAGTCACTTTCAATTATTTAAAATTAGATTATATATAATAATTCATATTATTTTAAAGAAATAATAGAAACTTATATACAGTCACACCTTAATATAACGAAGTTGGCGTCCAGGCTGATTAGTCCTTCATTATAAGAAATTCATTATTACTATAACGAATTATTTGATATAATAAATGATTAATGAAAAAGGAAAATACAAACATAATTTTACAATCTCTTTAATGGTAAAAAATTGCAGGCAAATTTGCCTGCAATTTTAAACAATTTTAATTAATTTTTAACATAAATTTTTA